AGCATTACTGCACTGCATGCACATCAATAGCACTTTCATTTGAATCATTCCAATACATTATCAGCTCCTTCACTCCTAACACTGTTGTTCAACATATTGCTTCATATTTTGAGGAATCCAACTAAAACCAACATACCTCAAATTAGGTTCATAAGATAAAATTAAGAACTTGGTAAGTTATGGAATATGTAGAGAACCAGCATCATTTGCGACAATACAGTCAATTTCAATTTAAGACACTTTATCTCAGTACAACCATACACACGTTATGTTCCTAAAATAAATCTCTCCTTATTTTATTACTACAAAATATTGAAAGATGCAATATTTGTTATATTTACAATAGCATTAATATTGTAGCTTAAATATTGTTACAAAGCTTGTGAAATTTCCATGGCAGTAGGCTTCATCAACACTGTAAGTAGAAACAGTTTACTTGTAGAAGAGTTATTATTCCATAAACACAGCCCAGTTCCCTTTATTGACTATTATAGGAAATCACAGTTTTATCAGTTTTATAAAGAATGATATTAAATAAATTTACAGTTAACTGTATTAATTTAAAATGCTTTAATTCACACTAGAATGGTTTTGCAAGTATCCACACCTAGACAACTCGTGCATTTATAAATTAGACCTGATGCATTGAGACTGTCCTGTTTGGTCAGACAAATTTATTTCAACCTCCATGATTTTAGTCCGCAAGCGAACTATACCGACCGAGCGACTGCCGCTTGTCGGCGAAATTCAGTGCCAACTTTTGCGGATAGAGGGTGTCGTGTGGTCAGCGCAACGAATCCCCACGGCCGTTAATTTTGGTTTTCTAGACCGGAGCCGCTATTTCAGACCCACTTCTTCTCCAAAAAAAATTTGGTAGCGCCGGGAATTGAACCCAGACCTCTGGATCTGTAGCAAGGAACACTGACCACTAGACCATAGAGGCGGTCAAACTTATTTCAACATAGATTCTAATTACTAATTATACACTGATACAGGCCATCTTTACAGAATGAGATTAGTGTTCTATATATTTAGAATTCATTAATAAACTACAGAGTATCAGGCATTTTACTTTTCATCATATATATTTCTAGCACCATTTTTGACAGTTATGCTATGGCACAATAAAACCTTAAATACTATTCCCATTCCTATATACAAAATTATCATCTTTTATTTTAAATGTAATAACAGCAAATAAGAACCAACCAAAGTACTAATAGGAAAGATAAATCGCACAGTAGTGAATATGAGGATGTACATTCTTTGTCTTGTTTGCCAGCTCCATAATAGCTGTGCTCACATTTTGAATTAAAAACTCATCAGTAGGCGAGCACAGAAATGAGAAATTGTCATTTAAACAGTAAACTACTCATAGTACAGTTTTTAAGTGGTATCATTCTAGATGACTGCACCAGTTACTCCTCTGCATGATAAATTATCATGCTTACTAATTCTGTGTTGCATCTGTATACTGTAATGCAAATTAAGACGGCCCTGAAGCTGGATTTATAAAATTATGATATCTTAAAATCCCTCATAATTTATACACAGGTGAAATAAAATGTCAGGAACAGCATGATAGCACTGGCAAAGAAAACTTGCTTTTTATGAAATGAAAATTAATTTCTGCTCTGCTTTCATTCATACTATGACCATGAGACCATTAATTGGCAGTACTCTGAATAACCTCTGCAATGAAGCTCATTTAAAAATTAGGACACTACTGACAGTTCTCGTCAGTGCTGGGGAATTTCATGTTATTTATAATCACCTGGGCCAGCATTCTGGCTTGTATTGGCCTGTAAAATTTATTATTTATAAGGAAGAAACATAAGTCTACACATACACATAAATGAATGAATGCTGTATAATGTAGTAACTAAATGAATAATACATGTTGATTACAGAAAACTTACAAATTTGATACAGGACTGGCAAACCAATATCAGAATAACAAAAGGTATTCTACCTCCTTCATCTTTCGTTGATTATCAACACACCACAGACTACACTGGTTTAAATGCATGGTCCCATTTCATAAACAAATATTTCTTGTTCTGTTGTGCTGACAGTATTCTCTCTTCATAACCTTTATAGGACATACGTAGTATGTTGAATTTCTGCAATGCAACATGTACATGGTCCGGTTGGTTATCTCTGCATTTGTTCAATACTACTATAGTATGGGGAATACTACTACAGTGCGGAGTGCTATGGTAACATATTTTACATTACTGTTGTGGGAAACCGGCTGGAGTGGGGAAAATGAATATTGCATTCACGAATATATCTTGGTGTGTAGATTAATAGTAATGAGATGTGGATGGGGAATCATCACATTTTCACCGTCAGAACTTATTTTTCAGCTAAATCTATTGTGCAGACAGTGTGAGTTTTATACTCCAAGGCATGGCAGAATTCTTGTGCATAATGTCATTTTAAAGTGGATTTGATGGTTTTAATGTTTAGGGTAGTATAGTGTATAAGTTTATTGGCCCTGCATATCCTGCTTGTACATCAGAGACCAATGAATGAGTGACAGCAGTAATGCATCAGAGTTCAATGAACTCGGCAAGGTGGCACAAACTTGCCTTAGAGATGTCAGGCATCTCCCATCAAAGAATTCTGCAGCAAGACTTGAGGTTTCATTTATATAAAATTCACATAACTCATGAACTGAAATAACAGGATAAACCTTCTTGTGTCAATTTCTGTAGGCAGTTCTTGGATCTTCTGGATAATGATGAAGGGATTTTGGATGTTTTGATCATATCAAATGGGGCCTACTTCCACTTGTCTGGTTATGTAAACAAACAGAATTTCAGGTATTTCAGTGAAAATAATCAATAGCAGATCCATAAGAAACCTCTCCATAGTGAAAAGGTCATTGGTTGGTGTGATCTGATCAGGCCTTACTGCTTTGAGAAAAACAACCAGGCAATTATGGTAATGCAAAGGATAAGGCAGAGAGTTAAAATATATGCTTTCAACAAAATGGTGCAATGGACTATGTGGTAAGTTAAAGCATAACCTTTCCTACAGGAATGTTTCCTGGCCGCTCAATTTCACAATTTGGCGACATTCCCCAGCCAACATAATGCCCAGACTTGACAGTCCCAGAATTTCTTTCTGTAGGACTATCTCAGGTCTAAAGTGTATGCTACTTGCCTCCAGTCCATCAAAGAGCTGAAGGACCACACTATGGAAGGAACTGCAAAAATCAGTGGTGCATTATTGCAGCATGTTATGCAGAACTTCAGAAAGCAATTATGACAATATATCGAATGTCACGAAGTCATCTGGGAATTTGTAAGGCATGAATACTAAACTGCAATCATTATGCTAGTTAGTCCTTAAAATGTTCAACTTCTCTCAGAGTAGCCTAAAGAAAACCTGACGTTCTCACACCCCAACCTGTACCATTACTCGGAAGTTAGAATATGGCCAACAGCTCTACAGAAATAGGAATTTAAAAATCTGGTATTCCTGACAATAAACTATATCATACCCAGATTAAAATATGGCCACCAGCCCATCATACTGAGAGACTTACATCCATATTCTTCGTTGATGAAGATTAATACATTTTTCTGTCACTAATTCTGAGGAAATGCTTTGCATGTTACATACCTTCTTCACAGCAAAGAAGGGAGAAAGCATGACAGTAGATATAAAATACAAAAGGAAGAGTTATGCACCTATCAGGAAAAGAACAACACAAAAGTAGACATTTTAGACCACTTCAGAAACTTATCACCAAAGATGGAGATATGAATGTCTTGAAAGTGTATGGAATTATATAGGGAAGAAAAATGTTTCTAAAATTACATGTATGGAAATAAAACAAACTAATGACAAAAGTGACTGGCAGACTTGAACAGCAGAAGGCAGTAATATCTAATAAATAAGTTTCATAAAATTTTCAACACTCATGTCATAATAAAAATACATGTTGTAATGTAAAATTACATAACCAAAATACATCCCAAACACAGATTTCAAAGAAATCATTATTTAAAAGAAAACTAACATTTACCAACCTTCTCTAATTGCTGGAATTTATAATGGTAATGGTAGTGGTGGTGGTGGGAGTCATAATGACACCACTTAAAACAACACCAACATGCTGGTACTGATAATGAAGACAAACTGCAAGTTACAAAACTTCTGCCTGTAATTTGTGGCAAGTTCATTTTGTATAGTTATTTATAAGATGTTCCCATTACTTCATTCTTCATTAGTATTTGACTGGAAGCATATTTTTAATTAGAATATGAATAAATTCAGAAATTTCAATTTTATATGCTTATATTTTAGTGTTGTTTCATACTGCAATCATACATTTATATACTTGTCAGTTCCTAAGAACATGATGCTAAAGGGTTAAAGAACTGACAAAGTTTAATGCAATTTTACTTTGGTCTATAACTCTTCGTATATACATGTATATACAAGGGGGGCCCCAAAAATAACTGGAAACGACTNTCATCTCCGAGCAAGCGAGGAACAAATTTTGCAGACACCCGTCTCATGTGCAAACCTTCGGTTAAAATTCGCTGGACCGTGCTCCATGAGATGTTCGTTTCCTCAGAAAGTTGGTCAATGGTCTTTCGACGATCTTCATCAATTGCACGTTTGATTTTGGCAATGTTTTCATCATTTCTTCCTGTCGAAGGACGCCCGGGGCGTGGCATGTCTTCTGTTGACATGTTGCCAGATTTGAAACTGGAAAACCACTCGCAGACCTGTGATTTCCCCAAAGCATCATCATTAAAGGCTTGCCGAAGCATCCCAACAGTCTCGGCTGCAGTTTTCCCTAACAGAAAGCAAAATTTCACGCACACTCTTTGTTCCTTCTGGTTGGCCATCTCACTAATCGCCAAAGGGTTGAAACAGGAACACACACAACAGAGCACCACAGACAAACCACTTAACTCAGACTGACGCCAGCTCACTAACAGTCGCGGGAGACCCCCAGCTAACACCACCTAGCAGCACAACTGTTAACTACAAAGCATGCGCGCGCAACAAGTCGTTTCCGGTTATTTTTGGGTCCCCCTTCGTATGTCTACAATGTGTTTGTGAACTTTCAGTTCAGGATCTTTGAATTCATAAATATGGTGTAATTATTACACCAATTCCACATGGCTTCAATAAAGTGTGACTCGATGCATTAAATAGAATATGAAGTGTACATTTTAAAATTTGAAAGTTACAAGAAAATGTAAAAATGTGCTCTTATGTTCCAATTAAAATCTGGTTCTACTGATATTTAATTTCTTCAACCCCTGGAATTCATATAGTCTGCTTTTCATTACACTGTTTCAAGAAGTTGTAGAAACATTCAGCTACATCTCTCTGTAGAAAATCATAGTTCTATAAGCTGCTTCCAAATAAATATAACTTTATGATGCATAGTCAGGCGTGACAGGCAATTCTGATTCCATGTATAGATCCTCTCCTGCAGCTGTAGGTGATCCATTGCATACTGAGGATGGCGCATTCAGTAGGCTGTGTGAGTTATGCCTTTGAGAGACAAAATATATCATAAATAGCAGAAACAATGCAATGGAACATAATACACTGTTTAGCATTTTTCAGAGGGTAAAAAACTGAAATCACTTCCAAAAAAACAATGATTAGGAAATTAGGAGAGAATGCATCAAATAAATGTTCCCCAATGCAGAACAGGAAAACTGAAGTCCCCATTACTCCACCTCTCTTACTCTTCCACAACAGTCACTCTGCCCTAATCCACAGTGCTCTCAACATTTTTTAACAGTCCAGATACTGGATAGTCCCTCTTCTTACACCATGACAATGTGGCAATGTTGTGCACTGTACCGTTCACTAACCCCAGTGCACCAATGCAAATTCCAGAGAACCTCTGAGAAATCTGGATTCCACACACAATACACTCTACTGATACCGCCAGTTTTAGGATTAAATACAATCTGTCAAATGTTGTAATTATGCCCTTCCCCATTTGTAGCAGCTTCTTTCAATTCCCTGCTCCCCACTTCTCCATCCTTACAGTCCAACTTTCTCTCAAGGAGTACATCAGATTTATCCGTTGTGGCCTCTACAATACAAGAATAAGTCTGCAATTCTAAAGATATACATAACCCAAAAAGATGGAAATATTCTGTTCTCACTTGGATAGCAAATATTTTGAAGTGACTGTAGTGGCATTTTTCCTGTCTTCCAGTGCTTAAAAACTTTGGCATGCTATGTCAAAAATTTGAAGTTTTCTCACATTTTTGTAGTCTTCAAATGCTTACACAGGAATATAGTAATTTCTTATGGAAAAATTTAATGCATACATTTTTCATAACAGAATATTTAGTGAAATAAAAGTGTATAAAGATTCTTGAAATAGTATTCAAAATACATATATGGCCAACTTACCTCTTGTATTTCCCATGTAATGGTGAAGTCTCCCCTGTAACTGATGCTGACACAACAGCACTGCCAGGACAACTGGTAACAGCAATACTACTATTGTTACTGTCAAACCTAGGTGGCAAGGACAGATGCCGATCCAATACTGCAGGCAAACAAGACTTGGGAATGGTAGCTCCAGTACCAGACTCGTTAGACCTTGACAGATGAGAATCACTGGCTTTTATCATGGTATCTGAGTATAAAGACTGGTATGGCAACGTACTGAAATTTACATTATGGTTAAAATGTCTTGGCATTCGTAGGTTTTCCACGCTCCCTCCAAGAAAAGGTATATTTTCTCTAACAGTTGATGTGGTCTGTAAAACTTCATCTACTGACACTGAAGCTTTCTGATTGTCATCCCACACATCACTCTTGTCAATCAAGATAAAATCATCCACATTTCCATTCCTATCACGAGTCACATTTTTTGTAACTAAAGGTTTTACATTACTTTCAGCAAGAGAGTTGTATTGCAATTTAGACAGAACTGGTGATTTCCTACTGCATGGAGGAAGCCTGTCATAATCATTCTGAGCATAAAGAGAATGGCTTCTATGTGACTTTAGTGGGTAATATATAGAATGGCTGGAATGAAGAAGACAGTCTGCAGGATGGTCCTTCTTCCTCATGAAGTTCCTTGGAGGATGCAAAAAGGAAACAGAACTTGGATCTCGGTATGAAAATGAAAGAGAGCCGATAGAAGACAGGGGTGGCTTCTTATGTTTCTTTTTAATGTCATTGAATCGTGAATAAAAACTTTTCCTACGTATCCTATCACCAACACTTTCTTCAATATCATCTCCTGGTAGGGGAACAGGTGATGATGCATATTCGTGGCTCTCAAAGTCTGAGCAAACAGACCAAGAATCAAAACTTTCCGATTCATCTGCAGGGGATAATACAGAAGAATCATTAGCAGGGTACAAACATGAATCAAGACGCTTAACATTTGCGAATTTTACCTCATCATCATTTAAACTGTAATCGTCTACGGGTGAATTATCGAATACATTATCCATGGTTGGTGGAACTTCAGAAACTGTGCATGATTTCGGTTCATTGGCTTTATGTGCATCAGCACAAGAGTTACATGAAACTTCTCCTGCACTTTTCGTTCTTACATAGACATTTTTATTTCCATCAAGTTCATCTTTGCTGTTCCCAGTTTCTGCTTCTTGCGACATTAAACGTACACACTCATTTGTATTTGCGGACATCAAAAATTTCTTCTCCACAGAGGTGTCAGCTGCATCTGGCACCTTAATTACATTATCTGGAATTACACTCTTTAACCCAGTAAGGGAACCTGGTCGAACTGACTTAATATTGCCTTCTAATTCTGAACTGATATTAGCCTGATCTTTACAGCTTTTACCCTGCTCAACTACAGATGCACTTCTAGTACTCGAATCTACATCTGAAAAACTTTTAGGCTGTGTTTTATTACCTGTTTCAATTGAATTCTTTGTCTTGGATTTAATACTCCCTCTTTTTAGAAGTTTTGGAACACTGCTCTCTTGCTGCTTTGTTGCATGGCTGCCTTCTAACACACTGCGATCATGTGCGATATTGGAATTATGAGCTGTTTCACTGCCCAACATATTGTCAGTAGTTAGCACTTCTGTAAGTCTTGTGGTTTTATTTTCAAGTTTCTTTAAGCCTGGATCCTGTAACTGACTCTCTATGATTTTACTATTCTCCAAGTCTTCTTTCTCAATTGTCCCATCCTTCTGAAGAGTCTTCCTTTTAACCACAGATGAATTTGAATTGGTTTTCTTCAAATGTAATGGAGGAACAGATTTGAATTCTAACCCACCAGGTTCTAACAGAACACTGTCACTGTGAGAGCCCCCATACACAGACTGAGTACGTTTCTGACGAGATAATACCGAAGGTCGAGGAGATGTTGATTGATGTGTTTTAATTGGAGCATCTTCTAGTTTCCGAAATAAACCAAGAACAGAAGTTACTTTGTTCCCCAGTTTTGAACTAACACTTTCTTTCATAGAAGGTACATTACTTTTGGAGCTGGACTCAACAGTACAACAATCACTGACAGAAACTGCACGTTTCAAGAGGTGGGACTCGGAAGTCATAACATCGCCACTGCGAGGAGTTAAGCTTTGCTCACGCAGTGAGCAAATGGCTTTGTCTACACGACTCTTTCCACAACTGTTGGCTGAAGGAGTAGAGTCAACTGATGATCTAAATTTTTCAAGCTTTTTCTCCAGTGAATGTAGGAACCTGTTCTTGTTGGTCACATTATTCGGCTGCTTTTCAAATGCTGAACACCTTTTCTCTGGTTTTTTAATATCATTAATATTATCTGGCTTCTCTCTCATATCATTTGCTGATTTCTTTTGTTCTCCACTCTCTTTCTCTTCTCCAGTCTGTTCCATCTCACTCCTGCTACCGTTCATCAAATTTATATTATCCTTGTCAGTATTTATATTATCTGAAGATGCTGAAACAGGGTCTGTCTTGAAAATTATTTCAGTAAGAAGAGACAACCCAATTTCTGTAGGTTTCTGCAACTGAGACTGAGAACCATTATTCTCTGCAACCAACTGCTTTAAGTTCCTCCGTAGTCTCAACTTATTTTCTGCTTCAGCTGCTTTCTTCGCATCCTTTTCCTTGGCATAAATGCTCTCTTCTCGTGGAGTATCAAAAAAATCTGGACGCAGAAAACGAGAAATACGGCGTTTCTTTTTGGCAGCATCCTTATCTCCATTTGCAGACTCAACTTCACGTGTTACATCTTTCTCTTCAGGGCCCTGCCTGAAAAATTTGCTCAGTATTGAACGATCAGGTGTACAGCGTAACAAACTAGATGATTGTGGTTTCCTTACACAATTTGCTCCTTCTTCTATGTTAACAGGATAATCTTTATTCCTTTGCTTTTCTACTGCATAAGTATTTGCAGAAGGTGAATGAAAATTTAACAATGATGGAATCTGACTATGGCCTTTAGATACTGAGGATGATGTTGCATTAGTGTTGTTTTTCCTTAGCAGTTTGTCCTGATGTTTACTTCTGAAGCCAGGCAAGCTTTCAGGGACTGAACTGGAGTTTTCCACACTTTTAAACTTTGAGTTATTCAGCTGAGAAGGCATGGTTGAAACATAACTAATGCTTTTTGGATTAAGATATGAACTGTAAAAGGTGCCTACACCATGATCACAAGAGTTCTTCAATTCTGTGTTCACTTTGTCAGATGGCTTGCCACCATATGAAGAAACAGACTTCTTTTCCTTTGTCTTGGCCATGCTAGGAAGAGACGAAGAATGATGAGGACGATCATATGCTACCTCTTCTTGGATACTTGAATGTTGCAAATTATGGCTACTACCATTCAAATGATTCCCATATGGACCACCAGTCACATCCATAGAACACCGTCTAGTGCTAGATGAGCTTCGCCCCACTTCTCTTCTTTGTCCTTGAGATCCGGCATTATAAGGCAATGGTGGGAGAACTCTGTCCAGATCCAAGGCTTTACTGTTTATATCACAATCTGATGTTGCTGGATTACCTCTATTAGTAGACATGCTTCCAACAGTCCTACCTTTTGAATCTAATAAACTCAGAGCTCTACGAGTTGGAGGCAAATAATCTTTCCTTGTGTGAGCTATAAAGGATTCTTGAGTATCAGACATATAATCTTTTCTAGGTAAATATGAGGTAAAGTTTTCATTGCTGTGTTTTTCTTCTTGATCTCTAAATGTTGAACAGCTGAGTAAATGATTGTTCCTATAATGTGAGTCATGATTCCTGGATACATTACTGTTAGATCTCTCATCAGCTGTATTTCGCAAGGAAAGTGTCCTTGAGAGTCTTCTGGATGTGTGCTGTGGAATATTACTATCCTCAGATGTTAATGAACATAGAGACGAATTTCGTTTGGGTGCAAGGCAATCTGACGACGAAATTTGTCGAATCATAGTTGACTGGTTTCCTACATCTTGGCTAGGTGAGTGCCAGTGGCAATGCATTCGCTGAGCCAAGCTTGGTGCATAATAATGTGAACTGTTCAGCTCACTTTCAACATCATCACTTACATTTTCACAGTCAAATCTTGATAAACCTGTTTGAAGAGAGATACAGCAATTAACTATTCTTATTGACTCTGACATTATTAGGCAAATCCTGCAAAATTCTGTGGTTTTAAGGTGACAGTTCAAGGCATTCTTACATGATACCTCAAATTTAAGTGAAAAATCATCTACCACTGACAACAGTTATGACTCTTTAATTGTAGAACTGTTAGTATCATAACCACATTCATTTACTCAGGCATACAATTTATTGGGATGGATACTTCTCACTGGAATTATCAGGCAACAAAATTTAAAAACTAATGAGACATTATGCAGCAATCTAGTACTTTCAAAACTAATACCAATCACTTGAAAATATTTTCTCATTTCTACATTTCAGAGGCAGTGTAGACATTTTCCAATATCCTGTATAAAATTCACTCTAATCTGCATGATATTCAGGTAAATAATTAAAACAAGAGTTAGCTTTCACTGACAGTAATTCCTTAATTGGACCACAACTGCTTCCTTCCGATCCTTTCAAATTCCTTATTCACCAGTCATCCTGTCATTCAGCATTATACAGCATGAAATACTGGCTCATAAAATAAACTATATAAACAATAAAAATAAAGACAATTCAATAACTAGGTACATGTACAATTTGGTCAATTATGATGATGATGCTGAAGAGGCTAAGTTTGGACTATTTACAAACAGGTTTCCATATCTGTCAAGGTAATTATTATCACACTGTGAAATTTTCCACAGTTACTGGATGTAATGTATGGTACCATCAGTCAAAATATGAAATGGCCAAAGGCCAAAGTGAACAACAAAAATATTATGAGATTTGATGTTCTCATGATGGTGACACCATGCAGACTGGTAAAAGTTTACAAACATGGAGGAATGTTGGTAAAATTATACTGAAGTACACTGCATGACATCCCAGAAATCAGTACTCTTACCAAAGATATCATCAAGAGTAACAGGTATGCAGCAATTTAGAGCACACATATTTTTTTACATAAGCTCTTTAAAATTCTGCATACATCGCTGATCTCGATATTTGTTCATTGTACATATAAATCTATTTCCATATAGCTAATCAACAGTACAGATGCATTGTTATAAACTTTGTGGTCAAACCTAAACAACAGAATACATTTTTAGTTACATGAATCAATTATTTTTCTTGAAATCTGTTAGATGTTTAGCATATACAATTGTTTCAAATACAAATTACACATTTTCACACGACCTGCATTTTATGTACAATGAGATATTTTTGATAAATCTGATAAAGTTTCACTTGAGTGACACGTGAAGAACCAGTGAGGACAAACACAGGCCAAAATAAAATGTGTCCAACAAACTTTAGTGTACACCGCAGAATATCATACGTAATCAGAATCTAGAAAGGAAACATGTGGACCAATGGAAGACTGTGATCTCCCATTTTTACATTAATTTTATGCACATGACTGCCTGACTAATGAGAATGAAATATCATTTAATTTTATTCACTTTATTGTCTCTTCTAGCCCCCTCAACAGATCTTGTACAATAATAACATAAATGGTTTAAAAATAATACAGAGATACTATAAGGTCTGTATTATAACAAGTTCAATTTCAGAGATTAGAACATTGTAATTAATGTTTATCTATTAAAAGCCTGGCTCAAAATACAAATGGAAATATAATACAGGACATATCAATAGCAGAGTACTGAGAAAGAACATGAGGTTCAACTGGTAACGAGAAAGAAATAACTGATTAATTAATTTGGCAACTAACTACATACTTTAAAACACATAACTGAGGGTCTACAGACTTTAACATTCAGTTAGCAAAGAAACACACAGGTATAAATTGTGTGTCTCTGATTTACTGTATTAGAGTACTAGTTCCATATAACATGAAATTAAACAAAAATTACACATAATAGGTACATACATGGGAAACACACGTGCCATAATGCACAGTCACAAGTATTCATACTGATAGATGGATAATGCTTTAAGATTTCAGCAGTACATACACTAATAGAGGTACATATTTTTCATTCCCCAGGCTCAGTAGTAGTAGAAGCAGTAGAGTAGTAGTGGTGATGGAGTTGGTGGTGGAAGTGTCTACTAATAGGTTGCTGTTGTGGTAGCGTTGTGTTTGGGGTGGGGCAGGGTGGTGGTGGTGGGGGTTGCTGCACCCCCTCCCCCTCCTCTGCCTCTCCCCTGTCCTCCCACGGGGACATGCACGGTCAAACGCACGCTCGCTGCAAACAAGCCACAAACAAACACAAGACAATGCAAGGTAAAGAGAACTATCTGCCATACTTCAAGTAAGACTTGTAAACTGTAATTCTGAAACCAAGAGTGTGTCCTATTTCATCTAGTCCCACCCACCATTCCCTCTTCACCAGCCTTACAGTATAAAAAGGAAAAGGGGTTTTCTAGCTGTTATGACAGAATATTCTTCCCATTTTCCAAGTTTTGAACCAAGAGAGGTTGATTGCTATGCTATTTAAATCTCTCACTTCAGAGATACAGACAAACACAAAATGTAAAGGTAAGGAGACCTGACACTGAGCAACTTGGCGTCACAATATTTTGAATGACATTAATTCTTTAAAACTTACGTAGAGCCAGTAATAATAAATCTGAGATCATGACAATCTGAATGATGGCAATCTGTAAAACTACTGATTTCATGAAGATAATTTTGACTTCAAATTAAAATACTGACACGTGTTGGGTATGTCACGCGACACATAGTTTCATGCCGTTTTGGATCTAGTGAATTTATTCCACATTTGCTCTTACACTTATACAATTTACAATTTCACAACTACTGCCATCTGCAGTATCACAATTACTTCTTCTGCTGCAGTCACTGCCATTCACTCGATACAACTTAACTCGTAGCTGCTGGACTTCAACTCATACTGAATACTGGATACTAGTAACTCAATACACACTACTCTTGAATAGTGTTCACTGCTCCTTATTTAGGCTCGGCACAGACAACACAGAGAACATCTCGCTGCTCGGCAACAAATATCAGGTGTTTCTGCCTATGCATTGCCTTGCAATAGTTGCTGCACGGACTTGCCTGTTGCGTGGCGTCACAGCCTAGCGGGGAGGGTTGTTTACCGAGCACTGTGTAATGATGGGAGGAGTGGGGGTACGTGACGTCACTCATGGAAACGCAGAGTTCATGTGACCCCTACTTCCTGTTGTGTCATCCTCATTACACTACACGTCAGCTAAATCATTAAATATTTGTTTTCCAATTTCTTAACAATTACTTGCATACTACTGTAGTAGGGCATGTGAAATTTGGTGTGGATGGATGTTCTGAATATGCTGATAATTTGTTGATGTTGAAAAACATTAATGAGGAAAACAAGCAAAATTTTAAATAACAGCCAGAGTTAACCATTCCTAAAATTAAAATCAGGAAACAAAACACTTGGTCATATCTGCCCCAAGGCTCATTACTGACACAACAGCCATTCAATTAAGTATGAATGTGCTTGAAATAAATGTAAAAACAACTATAGTGGAGAATATGGCCTATAAGGACAACTTCATCATGAGATAAAACATTGGAACTATCAGTATTGTGACGTGTTGCACTATGGAGGACAACCCCTCCCTCCCCAGTGGTGACGTGGCAGCATCGGAGCGCTGTCGTTACTAGGGTAACAGGCAAGTCAACACTCCTTCTCCTACCCTGCCAGCGGTGACGTGACCAAGGGATGCCGCAGTTGCTATGCAGCCATAAACAACTCCCGACAGCGTTGCCAGTAACACCTGTAAGCACAGTGACTAGGCAACAAGGAAACGAGGCATTTCCTGTTGTCCAGCTGAGGGTTTAGAAGAGAACTACACTGCCTATGAAGCAAGCTGAAATGTAGCAGCCTTCATACAGTTAAAGTGTAGCAGCCTACGAAGCGAGTTGAAATGTAGCAGCCGCCGAAGACAGTTGGAATCTAGCCAGCAGTGAGCAGTTAGAAGTGAGTTAATGTGTAGCAGCTGCCAAAGACAGTTCAAGTGTATCAGCCGCCGAAGTGAGTTTTCAAGGCAGCAGCCACAGAGTGAGTTGCAGTTTAGTGATCGCAGGGAGAAGACCTGAACGTGTGATTAGAAGTGACAGTGTGAGACATTATTGGGAGTCTGTAATACAGTGACACTTATATAGCTCCCATACTGTGAATACATGTAGACTACTGAGGACAGTGTGAAGAGATTTGTGTGTAGGGTTTGTAAAGTGTGTAAACCTGTAACAGTGTGATAATTAATTGTAGCTGAGACTTGTAGGTTGTTAAATAAACCAATTAACAATCGGAACGACGTCTTCAGTGCCTAAACACGTTACAGTATATTAATGCTACATATATGGAAAAATCTCATATAAGACATTGGAATTCTTCTGGCACTTTCATAGTCAGCTGCAATTTTTTTTCTCCACAACTTTTTGAATTAACTGTAGTTGTAGGTTTGCTCTCAAATTCGTGATCCATAAGGTATCACAAAATCACACCCTGTGCCTCTCCTTTGTGTGGGACAGGAAAGAAATTCCAAAATATGGGCACTGTAAGAGTGAAGAGAGAATTTTTGCCACCCTGAGGCAGAATAGCATGCACAGCTATTCTAATTCATGATCAAAAAACATCAGCTGACAGTTGTAAGTACAAGAGACTATTCAGCATTAGAAAATCATTTTATTTTCCAGTTCAGATAAGAGACAATATGTTGATTATGTTGAATCATTCTTCATTACTTTCTTGCAAGATAATGTAATAGTTCTGGTATGTTTGCCCTATTACTGTCTGCAGAGAGAATAAAATCAATTTTGTTTCATTTTTATGTGTAAGATTTTTAAGAAAAGTTTCACTCTGGTAAATATTCAGCAAGTTCGCATGATTTTGCGTGAGATTCACACAGAAACACATTTTGATAGTGACATTTTCCACCATCATATTTTACCCAAAACTGAAATATGTACACATATTTTACCAAAACTCCACAGCACCAAATTTC